ATCCGCACCGTTGGTTTAGAGGTCAAGTGCCCATTAAAACCTTCCATTATTGGGCTGCCTATTGATGTGACTACACACGATAAGGTACGGTGGGGCTAACGCTTGTTAATTTGAAGCCTCAAGCTGTTAGAGATAAGGAAATTTGTCACCTTCCTCTGATGGGGCTAAAAATTAGTGGTGCACCCGGGTAGACTCGACCTTGGGTATGGGTATGGTTTTAATATTTGGACCTCACATGTTGGATCCCGGTCTAAATACAATGGGACCTGACTTGTATTTATAAATCATTAGAGATAAAATACTTTTTTTTAAGTCAATGGTGATATGCAATAAATATTCATAGCGATTTTTAGCTATTAAATGACAAATCTAATGGTTTGAATTTTAATAAAAAGTGATGGTAATCTTGTTGTCAATAATATAAATATATAATAGTGAAAAAAAAGAATATTCATAGTTATAGATAGTAATAGACCCAACCAAACCTGAGAACCAACGAAGTCGGATATGAGTTCAATTTTTGAACCGGGCGGATCGGGTTTTCAAAGCCTACCTGGATTTGGATCCAGCCAGACCGCCACCCCTACCAAAAGTAAGTTGAATCCCATCCAATAATAAGAACAAATGAGATATTTTAGTTCCCAATAAAAGGTCATAAATGGGAGGGCCAAATGGGACATGCCATGTGGGGGCGTAGTCCTTGTCCGCGTCTTAACGAAATGACGAATTGTTGGGCTGGAAAGCATTGAAAGGGTAGTTATCCAATCTCATCAAAACAAAACCCACAAACTTTTCTCCGTCCCATCTTATTTTAAGATGGATAAGGAAGACTATCATTTTTTGGAGGGGCTTATCTTTTTACGCAACTTTTTTTCAATTAATAAGGGTTGGTTATACGGAATGCATTCGGCCAAATTATATATAAAAGAATAAAAAATATAAATTTTTAATTTTTTTTAAAAAATCATTAAAATATTAAAAAAAAATTAAAATAATATATATATATATATAAAATATGAAACTTTCATCAGTATAATGTTTTTATTTATTTATTTATTCCTTTTTATATGTTTTGGGAGTTTTTTTTGGCTAGCGAGTGGCACACCCAACTCCCCAACTCATCGCTTTTATGCTATTCCTTTCCTAATATAAATATTTAGTAGCTGCGAAAATTGACTGCATTATGTACTAGATTAATCAATACTCTTTTAAACTGGTTTTTTTGGGCGACGAATTTTCACAAAGGGACAATACGTAGTAGAAAACCCATTGCCAATTGATTTGGCTTTCAAATATAAGTAGGAAGTGGTGGACATATTTGTGTCATTATCTACCGTTCAAAGTTCAAATTTTTTTTCGAAATTTGTGTTATCCCTAAGTCATTTAATTTGATATTTAATAGTTAGTAGTAATTGTGATCTCCTTATAAAAAACACATAAAAGCCATCATATACAATTCTTATACTTATTGCATTATGCAGAAACAAGGGTGTTGGGCACAAGGATGAATAAAGGACAGAACTCAAGCTCAGGCTAGGAGCTCAACTAGGTGGTTATCAATGCTGCAACCTCAATGCAATGGGTTCGAACCCAAATAACCAACCGTAAATGGAACGTTGAAAAGGAAAAAAAAGAAGAAGGAATTGCATCATAAACCACACCTCCATATCTATAGTGACAATTACATTTGATAAGGGAAAATTGTTTTGCGCGGGCTTGACTGCATTTCTACATATGTGGTCCAGAAAGTGTAAAGCATCCATCTTAAAACTGGATGCAAGTAGCTGTTCCATTTAAAAGCAATCGAAACTAATGGTCTAAATGTTTTCTTATTAGAATTATTTCTTCTAGTTTTAAAAATTTATTTATTTTTTCATTTTCATGATCTCTATGTTAGAGATTACATTCTTTAAAACTTACGTCTTAAAATCAATCTCAAAAATAGATTTATTAAGAGGCCCGCATTATAACATATGTGGACTCGGCCGCATAGAAACCAAGTCCTTTGATAAATTCAGTTTATTTTTATTTTAACACCTAGTACTTATAATCAGTAAAATCATTTCATCGTGAGGCTTCCCATCATGTATGCAATCCAAAAGAAACATTATTAATCTGTGCTTGAGAGGTAAAAATAGCTCTAACATGTCAATATGTCAGCTAAAGCTATTACGTTGGATCAGTGAATTTTTGTATTTTAATATTTGATACGCCAAAAGATGTTTTACTCATTCGGAAGTATATTGCTTATTACTCCCTCAGGTAAAATCCCACCTAGGATTAATTTTAGGATCCTAATTTTGGGATACATTCTCTTTAACATATAAATTAACCTAAAAGAAAAAAGTTAATTACACCTTAACCTCGAGATTGAATGGAGTCCCAACTTTTAGAAGATGAGATATATATGTTAGAAAAATAAAATTTCACTTTTTTATTTTTAAATTAATCCTTTTGTGATTTTTAGGTGGTTCTTAAAAATTTCAGATTGAAAAAATGCTCCCAAGTAAATCTTTTGATCAAGGGGTAGAAGTAAACAATGCTCTCGAGGGGAACATGACATGTATACTCTTTTGATATATATCCCAATGGCTTTTTTTTTTGTCGAACCCAAATACTTGGGAAAAGTCTCGGATGATGATTATTAAGAATTTTGATATGATTAGAAATTACTATCGACTTTATACTTTTACAATATTTAATATATGTATTTTTAAATTGTGTATAATTGGAGTTCATGTACACTTATATACTTAACAGAAAATCATTTCATAGTACAAAATACATTAATATGATACTTTAAAGTTTGAGTAATGATCCTATGAGACCCTCCCACACTCATGTGTGTAGGACCCCAAAGGATCACCATTAAATTTGACACAAATCTCTAAAAAAGTTATCACATGGGTGTGGGATTTGACTTTTTTCGAGATCTGTATCAAATTTAATGGTGATGCTTTGGGGTCCTACACACATGGGTGTGGGAGGTTCTCATAGGATCATTACTCTTAAAATTTTCGCAACTATCTAATAAATTCCGACAAACAAGATAAATAATACATTGTCCTTATAGAAGTCCCTACTTAATGATATTTTTTGCTACATTTATCTAAAGAATCAGGAAGGAATCTGCCACTAAAGTTTTTTTTAGTGAGGCATCCAATAACATGTGTGCTCATATGAACTTCTACTTTTTTATACACTCAATGTTTTGGGTGGTAGATTAGGAATAACGAACAAAGAGACCATTTACTTTTTGTACAATGAGGTCACAGCCACTATTTGCCCTTAAATTTTAAAATAGGTGATTGTAAGAATGTCACTGAATAGACATAAAGTTCTAAATAAAAATTCTTGGACTTTCTGACTCACCCAAAGCCATTCAATTTGACATCTAATGAGTGAGAATAGTTGTCACCTCTATATAATAAAAATAAATGGCCTCTTTGTAGACATTCCCGATAGAATAATGCATATTTGGTGAATTGCTAAAAGGGAATTTTATCAAATTACTCATGAGAGATGAACAAATTAATACTTTATCCATATATTTTGAGTTAATTTTAAAATACCTTTAGAAAAACACAATCTTGAGCTAGCAAAGTTGCAAATGGGCAAAATGTTAAATACTTCATCTCTTATGAGCATCTTGATGATCTTCTCCTGTTAAAATCATGATTCACCTTATGCCCCTTATACTTTAAGGAAAAAGAATGTATGAGAGAAGTCAAAGATGGTCGGATCGCTAAGGGCGATTTAGAAGTTCTAGACTAGGAGGTTTTAGGGCAATAGAATGAGATTCTCCTTGATCTAATGAAGAAATTCTGGTATTGCAGTTTATGAACCTTCAGTGTTTTGCTTTGTGATTAACGCCCTAACCACAACCAAAGTATTACTTTGCTGCTTTCTTAGAGAAACCATGCAAGCATTTACTTTGAGGGATTTTAAATGAACTATGTTGCTACAAAGCATAGCTCATAAGATCAGACCCAGCTGGTCAAACCAGCAACCGACGCCTTGTCCGATCATATACAAAGTAAAAACAAGATTTGGTTGAAAAATGGTAAAAGCTAATGTTTGAGCAGTTTTAGCAGATCTAAGTATCATATTTGATAGGTTAGACTGCCTCAACAAAAACAACTTAATTTTTTAAATCATATTTCTAAAGTATTATTCTTTTTTTTATTATCTAAATTTTATTCAAATTATTTGACTAGTGATTATACCAGTTTTGATAAGACTAGATTCTTCACCAGTCTGTTAGACTAATCCGGTCCTACTAATACAAGCATTAACAGCTTGATGTGTATCACTCTATGAAATTGGAACCAACTATTTGGATGTAGAGATGCACATTAAGTGCATCCAAGACAAGGTATTACGAAGAGAAAGAAGAGAAGTATAAACAAAAGGGAAAGAAGCCGGTGTTACATTGTTTTGATACATAACAAACACATTTATCCAAAGTATTTACAATATTGGGTAAAATAAACAAGGGAAATTTATCATAGGAGATGAATTATTTAATATTTTACCTAGTTGCAACTATTCCAACTCATGATCATGTGTATTTGGATGGCTTTTTTGAAATTAAACGAAAAGATACAAATATAGTGTTACATAGTTCATCTCTCATAGATATTTATAAAAAAAGAAAGTTTATGGGTGAGCCCCTAAACAATCAAAATAAGGCTCCCTTCAAAAATTCGTTAGAGAAGGTTATTTTGACATTGAAAAACCCTAAATTCGATCATCTTGACCTCAAGATGTTTGGACATAAGAAAAAATAGATTTCAAGCCTAAATTCGATCATCTTGACCTCAAGATGTATGGACATAAGAAAAAATAGATTTCAAGTTTTGGAGACCATCAATTTTTTAGATTTTCAAGTATTCATATATCTGCTCGATCTACACTATTTTTTAACTTTAAATTTTTTTATTAGAGATAAAAGTAAAATTTCAAGCCATCATAAAGATTTTTTATACTGAAACAACATATTTTGATATTATTTGAAAGTGCGCCCTACTTTATAGTTTAGGGCCTTGGCCTTATACAAACCACGGCTTTATAAAAAATAATAATAAACAAATCCTTCACACATAAACGCGATGAATGGATATTATCTAGCCATACCCCCTCCCATAGACGGTGGCAAGGTGGTCACCCCTGGAGTCTGCTTCTCCATGTTTCCAATCCAACCTTCACATTTATATCAAAATCATGAAAGCTCGGTTAATATTCATATCTCATCCTTATCAAGTAAAAAGTGAGAGAGGAGAGAATTACATAATAATTATTGAAATATGTACATTTCATTTGAAAAATTAAGTAAAAAAGAATTTGAAAAGATTAAAGTTCTGGCTCCACATCCAAATTGAAAAGGGTACATAGTCCAAACTGCAAATATATGTTATGTATGCATATGTGCAGGATCACATAGGAGAGGGGGCAAGGGATAAATTATGTAAACGAGATAAGACTATTCACTTTTTGTATTAGGAAGCCACAATCACCTTTAATCAATGAGAAATTGATGGATTGAAGTATGTTACCAAATTAGATATTTTATTATAGACTATTTGCCATCCCCGACCACCCTATTGCCCATCTAATTGTTAATAATAATTGTGGCATCCTCATACTAAAAGCAAATGGTTTTATTGTACAATTTCCAAACGCATACCCTAATGCCGAATACTTATGTACTTCCCCCTATCCAACCGTCCATTATGAATGGATGGCTAAGATAGTCCCAATCACGATGTCACATCTCTACCCTATTTTATCTTTAATTTTTTTTCTCTAAAATATTTTGACACCAAATTTTGGACATCTACCCCACTCTTACACTTACACTTGTAAAAAAAAATATAAACAATATTCTCAATAAATACAATGACCAAAATACCCCTCAAAGATTTAAGGGGTTTTTTTGGTCATAATGTTTTTTGAAAAATAATTTTTTATATTTTTTTTGGGTGCACCCCAATGAGAAGATAATATGTACTAAATTTCATATTCATATAATTTGTATTAAAAAATAGAAATAAAATACTTTGAGGCGTCAAATCTAGATCAAATGGTCAGTTACTCACTTTGTCTAAATTTGACAGCGGGATGGGGGGAAGTATATATCTACTGTAGGAGAATTGTAGAAACCTTTCCCTAATATTTATATAATGTGAGCCTAGGGGCCTATTGGAAAGGTTGTGTGTCCAAATGTCCCATGCCGAGATAGAACCATCAAACATTCAACATTCACTGATAGGGGTGGGGGTGGGGGCATTTTGGTTATAATTGGTTGAACTGTGCTATTTGTTTACATTTTTCTTTTCTCTTTTTTGGAAAAAGTTTATATAGAGCTGAGGCTGGAAACAATCAAATTAGAGCGTACTTCAAAAATTTCACTAGATGACATTGTTTTGGTGCCCAAATACTCTCAAAGTGATCATCTCGACATCATGATGCGTGGAGATGAGAAAAAAATGGATTTCAGGTTTTCGAAATAGTGTATTTTGTAACGCATTTTGAACCATCAATTTTCAAAATTATCAAGTTTTCATACATTTGTCGATCTACACTGTTTTTGAAGCTTTAACCTTTATAAATAAAGATGAAAATATATTTTAAGGCTATCACAAAAATTCCAGTATTAAAGATATATATATATATATATATATATATATATATAGAGGTCTGAAGAACATCTCCCCAAAATTTTAGGTATAAAGGATATGACAAAAACTAAAATAAAATAAAAAAGTGCCCATATATGTTGACCTTCTAGATCTGGGAACTTGAATTGATCTTCATATTTTTCATATCGGGTCTAGACTCATTTAGCAGCCCCAGGAAAAAAAAAAAAAAACACAAGGTAATAGTGTAGAACATAAGTGCCAAGGTAATAGTGTAGAACATAAGTGCCACATTACCCAGATCCAATGCATCTTATAAAGAATTCGTACTGAAACCTAACATCTATGATTATTAAATTGGTCCCCACTAATTGAAATAAAAAGTGGGGATGGACATTTTTCTATCCCATGATTACCTATCTTTTGATGGGATTTTTTAAATTAAATAAAAAATTGCGAGACTTTAAGTAATTTGTCTCTCGGCTGTTTTTCGATAAATATCTGTAATATAGAACAACGACTAAACGGCATGGTAGGACAAAATATGGTCCAGGAAAATAAAGAGAAAAATAATATGGAAAAAGAGCTTGGTTGGGATGGGTCGAATTGGGCCAGCCATATTGTGGCTCAAGACTGGACCAACAGTGCCCTTGGGCCACGGGGGCATGGCTCTAGATTAGGGTGACACGGTCGGACCTAGACCTGAATTCACTGGACCCAGACCCGAACCCGAATTCACCAAACCTGGACTTGCCCTCAGGCCGTGGTGGTCTGGTCCTAGCTAGGGGTGGAAATGGGTCGGACCCAAACCCAAATTCACGGGACCGGGACCCGGACCCGAATTCACCAGCCCCCGACTCGGACCCGAAAATATAGTGTGAGACCCAGACCCAAACCAAAAATTAAAATATCTATGTATTTAATTGTAAATATATTTCATATATTAGGACCCAAAAAATATTACAAGACGGGAACCCGAACCCGAACCCGGACCGAAATAGTGTTCGGTTCAAAGATTTGGACCCGGACACGACCCCATGTTCGATTTTTAAAGCCATAGCTAGATCCGGATCAGGTCTACCCCTCGGGTCCCAAGTCGAGTCCAGGTTCATTGCCACCCCTAACCCTAGCCCAGCCAAGCCCAGCCCAGCCCAGCCCTTGGACCATATCTTGTGGCTGAGGCCCTTGTTTTTGATGCCCAGGGAGGGCCACCCGGACCATTGCCAGCCCTAAGTGAATGGGATGGATTTACAACAAAATAATGTCGCATTGAAAATAGAAGGAAAGGGAAAGTGGAGGATTTGGATGAGTGCTTACCAATTGGCATATCGAAACCACGAGCTTTGAGTTCCCTGTACTCTTGGCACAAGGCGCATCCTTCACAGCACAAGTGAACAAGGAAATCGGGACAAGGTGACTCTGGGAGGTTATATTGGCTCCTTAACTTTGAACGGTAGAAGCATGAGTAGCAACGTGAGCCCCCAAGGATCAACATCATGAGCCCATACAACGTACCACTCACTCCACATGCTGCACAATTCATTCAAAAGTATGTATCGCTAACTTCATTCAAAAGTTAAAGAGCTTCACTTAGCATTATGGTTTCAGCTTTCAAAGTTTGATATGTGTGATGACTAAAAGAGTAACGAATTGAACTTGGGCTTGGGCTTGGGCTTGAGTGGTTAGTGGTTGAATCTCAAGGTTGATTCCCACCTTTCATCATCTAGCATCATCTTCGTCTTTGTGCAAATCGACAAGTGGTTCAATAAAAAGACCAAAGGAAATGATTCTTTTGAGGAAAATAAAAAACACAATGGAAAGAAAGCACCCCCTCTCCCTCCCTCGCTTCTTTTTTTTTTGTGATAGATCAGTGGTAGGAATCGAACTTGAGATGTAGCATTGGTTGACATCAACTACTAATCACTCAAAAACACACCCAATTCCCATTCTTATGTGAACATATGAGGCCATCCTTCACCTCCACTTCCAATCTAACTTTTCTTCTCTTTTTTTTTTTTTTGGATGTATTGCCGTTAGATTAACTATCTTTATTTTGGATATTTATCTGCAATAAGAGGTTGTTTGGATCTTTGGAAATTGTTTTTCTAGAAATGCTTTTTCATGGAGATTACATATTTTTTAGGTTTGGATCTAAGTTTTGGGGCCGAAAATCACTTTTACTAGAAATTCTTTCCTCCATTCCAAGCCAAAAATAAAGAAATGTGTATCCTAGCCTTTACCCAAAAAAATTATTTTCTCGCCGAATTTCCCCATCACAAGCTGAAATAATAATTCATTCCTGCATAACATGGTATGGGGCACGAAGTCTAATAAATGAGCATATACTCTGCGCACAAAAGATTCCCTCTTTAAACAATATTGGGCGCAAAATTTAGAGGTACGCCTAACTCATATAGTATAAGGTGGGCACCTTATACAAACCCCACCCCTGTGTAATTTGGATCGATAAAAAAAGGTGCATATATCCTGGTCCCTCAAGATAAAATTGTACTTTAAATCTCACGAGCAAAAATGCTTAATTAGAGGGGAATTTTGTTACTTGATAATAATAAAAGATCTTTTATCGACTCTATGATGAATTTTCTAAAAACGTGGAACTTATTATCCGCATAAAAACTTAGATTTGATTACCCAAAAAAAGGAGCGGTTTGCATGAGGTTTTAAACTTAAACAATCAAAGTAAGGTGCACTTCCAAACTTTGTTAGGAGACACAATTTTGGTATTGAAAATTTTTATGCTGGTGCGAATATCTATTTTTTTCTGTAACTATAAAATTTTAAACTAAAAAAATTGTTCAAATCAAGCATATCTACAAACGCACAAACATATTGAAAATGGATAGTCCAGGTGTTATATCTTATAAGATATATTATTTTTAGGACTTGAAATATCAATGTGGAGATGATCAATTAGATGTTTTTTCAACATCAAAACAACCTTTTTCAAAATATTTTAGAGGTGCACTGAATTTTACATTTTAAGGTGTCAACCTTATATAAAGTTTTTCCCACGAAAAATGGTTAGTCAAGAGTCAATCTTGGAGTAGAGATCCGGAGCACATAGTGAGCTCCCTAATCAGTATTTTTCACATAGTGAGCTCCCTAATCAGTATTTTTCACATAGTGAGCTCCCCAAATCAATATTGTTTTAGTTTATCTTAGACATAAATATGGATGATCTGAGAGTTAGTGAGAAACAGATCCCAAATTTGACCGCGGGACTACCAAAACTTTAAGAAGTGTTTTGCACGATTCTATGCTGTGGAAGTGTTCCTGAAATTGAACCAGCCTCGGAAACCGGCTAACGGTTGGTTCTTAGTAACCGGTAAGCAGGACGGTTGAACCGGCCAAACTGGGCAGGTATTGACCGGTCCAAAAAGTGTTAAAAAGATACAAAATATAGAAAAAATCTAAAAAAAATGGATAGTATATTTAAAATATGATTAAACAATTCACATCCAGATGAAGTTGAAAACTAGTGAAAAAAAAAAAGATTTTTAAAAAATCGATTTGTACCTAAAAGTTTTTTTGGATTTTTCTATAAAAAAGATGGCAAAATGTAAAAATAAGTATCCATGGCCAAAACACTTTTCCATCTTTTAGAAGATAATAAAAAATATTCAAAAACACATTACAAATAAATTCTTTATTTTTTTTGGAGATTTTATATAATTATTTTAATTTTTTCCATAATACCGAGCCTGACCACCAAAAATTGGATTGGCTAGTGCCTGGTTCCGGTTTGACGGGCCGGTACCGAGTTGGATCCGCCGAATTTGCGAACTCTGATTCTATGTGACAAAAAAAACCTAATGCTAAAATGAAGAGAGAGAGAAAGAAAGAAGCACTCACAGGTTATTCCCCTATCGGCAATTTCAGCTATCTGACCAAAGGTAATGCATGGGCACCAACATGTGATGCAACCTGGACACCAACAAAAACAAAATGATGAATTCCTCAGAGTTGCATGCTTAAGATAACATCTGATTAAGCACCAATGGTCATATATTCAAATTTTAACGTACAATTTCCAGGATCATCACAACAATTGAAGAGACCAGTTGACCATGTCTGCGAAGAAGCGTTTGGAATGTGAAGGTGATGAGGTGAGACAGGAATTCCCTGTGTAGGCGGATGCGCAACGTTAAACGATGCCGAAGGTGCCGGACGTGTATTCTTATACATGTTCTCTGAAATCAGAGAGAGAAAGAGAGAGATAGATAGATAGAGAGAGATGGGGCAGAGAAAGAGAGAGATAGATAGATGGAGAAACAGGGATTTTCTCCTGGGATTTTATAGAGAAACGGGGCTTTATCAAGTGCCCATGGACTTGGTTCAGAGTTTTTGGTGACGGTCAGTTGCAAAAATAAGAGTTGATGGAGAAACAGGGATTTTTCTCCAGGGATTTTACAGAGAAACAGGGCTTTATTAATTGCCCATGGACTTGGTTCAGACTTTTTGGTGCCGGTCAGTTGAAAAAAATAAGATAAGAAGGAAAAAATAACATAAAAAGAGAGAGAGAGAGAGAGATGAACTAGATGATAAACTGTCAAAAATTGTCCAGTTCTTATATCATTTGATCGAGGAGTGGAAGAGCTCAAAACCATGACTCGGAGAAGGGACTCGGCCAGTGCCCGAGCTGATGAACTCGGGTTTGAGTGGGGCTGGGTAGTAGGCCAAGATAAAAAGTGTTAAAAAAAAGGAAATTTTTTTATAGAACCCTAATTTCTCATATTATTTCACGGTAGACTCTTTTTTCGTTTTTCTTTCAAACGAACTTTTGATCATAAAAATTTAGCCCAAACAAATATTTTTATACTATTTTATCCCAAAAATCGTTTTAACCATCTTTCTCTTTTTTCGTCTATTACAAAAGTTTTTGAGTTAAAATGGTACCCATTCAAAAAAAAATTGAGTTGAAATAGTATAAAAAGATTTGTTGGGGCTAATTTTATGATCAAAAGTCAACCTCTAAAGATTTCACCATGCCCATCATTTTGTATCTCCATCTTTTATAGACTTTGGTGAAATCTTTAGGGGTTTTTTTATTTAGCTTGAAAGAAAAACAGAATAAAAAGCTACCATGAAATAATATGAGTAATTAGGGTTCTATACGAAATTTTTTCTAAAAAAAAATATAAAAAATATCAAAAAATAGGAAAATATGTTTAAGATAAAAATTAAACAAAACACATCTAAGTGAAATAAAGTAGTAAAAGAAAGGGTTTTGAAAAAGTTAATTTGTAACTGGAGGCATTTATAAATATTCTAAAAAGAAGGAAAAATGGGAAAATAAGTATTCATGGCCAACATGTAAAAATAAATATTCCAAGGTTCTATCTCTATCTTTAAGCATTTTTTGTTTGTCTTGAGTCCAATATTTGTCTAATGTGATTACTCCTGAAATCTCTCTCCGCCCTTTTGTCAGAACCTCTCGTCTCTCCTTCCTAGGCATATTGTCCTCTTTTTTCCCCTCCCCTCTTCACATATCTCACTGCTTAAGTTTCTATATTTTTGCATCTCTGACCTAAAATCTCTCTTTTCCTCTCTTTCATAAAAGCATATCAGCACTCTCCTAAAGGCATCTCAGCACACTCCTATATGTAATTAAAAGGTATACATAAAAAAAGGGGCTGGGGTCGTGATGATAGCCTTCTCACACCCAATTATTATATCGTGATATCCGTTCCTATTGCTGACACTCTCAATTAACACCTTCAAAGTGTAACTCCCCATTATATTGAAAAATCGTGTAGGGCTTGTCTTCCCCACTGAATTATCTAAAAAGAAAAAGAAAAAATATACATAACGAGCATTTACTTTTCATACAAGAAGATCACAGTTATTATTGTCTATCAGAATTCAAATCAGATGATAGTTATTATTGTCGCTCAGATTTCAAATCGGATGATTGTAAGGGTGTCATTGACTAAACTGAAGGTTTTTAAAAAAAACTATCAAACTTCGTGAAACATCTTAAGCCATTCAATTTGACATCTAATGACTATGAATAATTTTGATCTCTTTATAAGAAATATAAATGGTCTCGTAATATACAACCCCATATATGATATATATTTATTTTATTACTTTAAAATATATGTCCGTCTCTCTTTACCTTTTTGGATAAATTGGAATGGCCTACCGAATAACCTATTGAGTCTATCTCTCTTCATCAATTTACTTTTTCTTTTTACTCAAGAAACAAAATATCTCTCAATTAATTTTCTATCCATATCTCCTTAATTTTCTCCTTATATCATCTCCCTCAACTTTCCTTCCCTTTTTTCTTACCCATGCATTAATTTTTAGAGTTGCATTATTAGAAATACAAAATAAGCATTGTCACAAAATAAATAAACTTTTTATGCTAAGAAAGGTTTTTACTAGAAGGAGCATATACCCCATAGGGAGCATATACCCTAGGGAGCATGAATACATAAATGGCAAAATCCTTCATTGTAAGTCTCTTGTGAATGAAAAACCTAACTTGAAAAAGTACAGTTGTCCGACGTTTTATGTGCTCCTAAGGGAGCAAGTTGTGTATATGCTTCCACTTGTAAAAGGCCTTGTAGATTATTTTTTTAACCTATAATTTTTATATTTGTTATCAAGAAAAAATTACTAATAAGCTTTTCACCCAAAATAGCATATACCATAGGGACCATAAACTAAAAGAGCAAAGCTTGGTTTTTTGTACGTCGGGTATTTCGCCCCTAGCTGCGG